ATAAGAAAGATATGGTTGAATAAACAGCTACCAAAGGAGTGGAATAGCGGCATTATTGTACCACTACATAAAAAGGAAAACCAGTTAGAATGTGAAAACTACCGTGGAATCACGCTGTTGAATGCGGCATACAAAATAATGTCCAACGTAATGTATGAAAGACTTAGACCATACGCTGAAAAAATAGTTGGCAAATACCAATGTGGCTTCTGTAGACAGAAGTCAACAATAGACCAGATATTTGTTCTGCGACAGATCCTTGAAAAAACAAGTGAATATAACATCGACACACATCATCTCTTCATAGACTTCGAAAGCGCATATGACAATATAAACCGAGAATTCCTAACAAAAGCAATGAAAGAATTTAATATACCAACACAGCTAATAGAATTGATAAAAGAAACACTAAAAGTAGAAAGTAAAATCCGGATACAAAACGAATTAACGGAAACAATAGATGTGAAGAAGGGACTACGCCAGGGAGACGCTCTATCATGCATATTATTCAACATCATACTTGAAAAAATAATAAGAGACACAACAGTTAATACCCGAGGAACAATAATTAATAAAAGCGTGCAAGTACTAGCATTTGCAGATGATGTTGACATAATCGCAAGATCAAGAAGAGAAATGATAGAGGCATTCACTCAAATAGAACGAGCTGCTAAAAATAGTGGTCTTAAAATCAATCAGACAAAAACAAAATATATGCCTTCAAATAAAAACGCACAAATAAGGCAGCTGCCAAATTTAACAATAGGAGAATACAATATTGAGGCGGTAAAAAACTTTACATACTTAGGATCCCTAGTTACGTCTGATAACAACGTTGCAGAGGAAGTGAAGAGGAGAATATTTATTGCCAATAAATGTTACCATGGCTTAATTAGGCAACTAAGATCAGATAACGTCTCCAGAAAAACAAAATGCCAAATATACAAAACCTTAATAAGACCGGTAGTCACATACAGTTCAGAAACCTGGACACTCTCTAAAAGGGAGGAAACGTTATTAGCCACCTTTGAAAGAAAAATCTTGCGACACATATATAAGCGCACAAAAGAAAACGGGATTTGGCGGAGAAGTATAACTGAACATAATACATGACATATGACATGTTATGAAGATATCATAACATTCATTAAAATAGGAAGGCTACGTTGGATTGGACATGTGGAAAGAATGGAAGAAGGCGAAATACCAAACAAATTATTCAAACAAGTGCCAGTAGGAAAAAGAACAAGAGGAAGACCGAAGCTGAGATACGTAGAACAAATAGAAAATGATATAACAACATTAAAAATTAAAAACTGGAAAAAAAGCACGAAACAGGTCAGAATGGAGAAGAATCCTTGAGCCAACAGGCCAAGACCCAAAAAGGGTTGTCGAGCCAGTGATGATGATGATAGATCGAAGTGTGGAAATATCTATGATATAAAATAATCACTTTATCTACAATCTACATTATATATTAATATGACAAAAGTTTTTGGGTAATATTAAATATCCGAAATCAAAACGACAAAAATATACTTCATAAACAATAAATATTTCTTGGTAGACACATAAATCAGAAGCTGCCAATCACGCTTCCTAAAATAAATATTAATGTTCCCTCCAATTGTAATAAAACGACTATGCATATGAAATACGCAAAATAAACCACATTCTTCCTTCTCTCACGAAATATTATATAACCTATTAAATTAATCCAGAAGTTGTAAACAGTTATTTTTGTTTTGAACCAAAACTCACGTACGCCAAAATTCTTGTTATAATAATAAGTTGTTTTATAGCTAATAAAAAAGAGGTAATTGCAAATGAGTGTTTTATTGTCTGAATCAAATTGGAATGGAAATCTATAGATAGAGAAATTGGAATAATTCAAACATCTGGGGATATATATATATATATATATATATATATATATATATATATATATATAATTTATTTTGTAGTGAATTAACAGGTATGCGGTCTGTAATTTGTAAATTGATACAACGTGCAAGAGATGTTAATACAGATGTCTTTGCCTGTTTCATTGACTTCGAAAATGCATTTGACAAAGTACAGCATGAGAGGCTTATTGAAACTACAGAATCCTACTATTGATAGTAGAAGGGAAAATAGAAGGAAATAGAGGACCAGAACGCCGCCGAATATCCTAGCTTAAGAATTTGAGACAGTGGACAGGTATGACTACCACAGACCTATTTCGATAGGCACTAGCAGAAGAAGAAGAATTTGTAAATAAAACTTCTTTTTTTCTGTACGTCTCTATATTTCACAAATTGTTTGTTCGGTTCATCAGGTGAAAAGAACTAAGAGTATTTTTAAACATTTCCATGTTCAAATCAGTACTTCAGTACTGTTTAAAAACACTTTTAATTCTATTCTACTGATGAAGCTAACAAAAATTAGCAAAATATATAAAGAAAAAAAGGGTATATATATATATATAATATATATAATAATATATATATATATATATATATATATAATTTAATAAAAAGCTTATGAAATGTTACGTAAATGATTAGATGTTTGAACGGAGAAAAGTGATCTCAGAAGATTGGAGATAATCCTATATCCCTCGAATATATAGCATGGGTACATCAATAAATACGAAAAATTACAGAAAAATGCAGAGCAGTAATATCGAACATTAGTGGGTTATATTCTAGAATTGTGGTAAACTTAATAGAAGCAGAACTTAAATAAAAACATCCATAAGAACAAGGAGAACAACATTTTCACATTAAATATTCACAATATGACAATATTTTCACATTAAAAATCACATAGAGAAACCCATATAGCCTTAATCGATTTAGAAAAAGCATCTTGTGAAGAAATAAAGGAAAAAAATTAAAAATGCAGTTTAAAGCGGAGTTGGGAGAAAATGGAATAAACCCAGAACTTATTAAATATGGAGGAGAAAAGCTATCTGAGGCAATGCAGAAAATAATAAAAACTATATGGAATATAAAATGCGTTTCCATGTAAAATATATATAATAGTCCAGGCAGGATCTGTCTTAAATTGTACATTTTTCATAGAAGTCTATGTTTTTGCTGGAATTAGACCTTATCAGAACTGATTAAATATGGAGGAGAAAAGCTATCTGAGAAATGTAGAAAATAATAAAAACTATATAGAATATAAAATGCGTTTCCAAGTAAGATTTTATAGTCCAGGCAAGATCTGTCTTAAATTCTACAATTTTCATGGGAGTCTATGTTTTTGCTAGAATTAGAACTTATCGAAACTTATTAAATATGGAGGAGAAAAGCTCTCTGACGAATGCAGAAAATAATAAAAACTATATGGAATGTAAAATGCGTTTACATGTAAAATATTATAGTCCAGGCAGGACCTGTCTTAAATTGTACATTTTTCATGGGAGTCTATGTTTTTGCTGGAATTAGAACTTATCAGAACTTATTAAATATGGAGGAGAAAAGCTATCTGAGGAATGCAGAAAATAATAAAAACTATATGGAATATAAAATGCGTTTCCAAGTAAAATATTATAGTCCAGGCAAGATCTGTCTTAAATTGTACAATTTTCATGGGAGTCTATGTTTTTGCTGGAATCCTTTCAGGATGTGCTTTGTATTAAATATACGCTAGTTGCAAACCTTGTTTAATTTTTTATATAACATAATCTGAAAAAAATACAAAATTTTTGCTTTTTGCGCCCGTATTTTACCTATAACTCAAGAGATATTGCTCCTACAGAAAAAACTTCAATTTTGAATCATATGAGCCTTCATATTTTGTCTAGAAAAACTTTAAAATACGACTGAAAGTTATGCTAAATTTTGTTAGCATTGATTTAAGAGTTTCTCCATAATAACTTGCAATCCAGGGCTTGCAAAAAATTGAAAATTTGTAAAATTATGCAGCGCTCAAAATTAGTCGTATTCTACAGTTTTTCTAGACGGAATATAAACGCTGCAAATTATTATTAAGAATTAAAACAAATTAAAGAAAAAACTCCAATTTTGCACCTGTTTTCGAAATTGTTGCTACTTTTAAACAATTTTTAGCCAGTCATGTAAAATTAAAAACGACAATATTACCCTTTTTAAAGTTTTATTTTGTACGAACTATATCTCTCGAATTATAGGCAAAAATATGGGCGCAAAAAGCAAAAATTTTCGATTTTTGTTTCAGACTTTGTTAAATAAAAAATTTAGCAATTGCGAGTTCCAGAAGGTGGATGAATATATGTCACTTATGAATATATATATATATATATATTATAATATATATATATATATTATATATATATATAGATACTCTTTTTGACCAGACATGTAAGAAATAAACTGAAATCAACCTGGAAGACTGAGACCTCGGAAGCCCAGAGGAAGGCATCAGAGAGGATGCCGAAAGCTTGGCAAAATAGATTACGACGCGGTTTAACCGGAAGACTGGTGAGTATAATATTAATTTTAGTAATAATATTAATCTTAGCTCTAGGTTTTTTTTATACATATATATATATATATATTTATATATACATATATATATATATTACATATATATATATATATATATATATATATATACTATATTTTATATACATATATATATATATACATATATATATATATATATAATAAATATTATATATATCTATATATATATATATACGTGAAAAAACATGAATGCTGAACCAACTCTAAGAAGGAAAAACCACAGAACTCCAAAAGTTAACATGCGATGGACAAGTAAAGGGTGACTATAGCAGATATATGTCTTGAAAATAATTGAAGTGAGTTGAATCTAGTAGAAATTCACAGAAATAATGAAAAGGAAAGCTAGACAGTCCTATGAGCAAAGAGTAACACTAAGAAAAAAGTTTTCTTATAAAAAGTTTTTAGAAGTTTGAAATACACAAAACTTTGAAGTTTTTAAACACAAAAGCAATTGGTAAATTTGAGTATCAAGAATAATAATATTGCAAAAATAAATATTAAACTTACGGAGTTCTTGGATTACTGTAACGTTAGATGTGGAATTCTTGTTCTTCTTGGAGCTACGAGATTTTGTGAGTGATGTTCTGGATAACTTCTTCTTGGTTTTGGCCATCGTCTTACTCTGATGTCTAAGTGTACTACTTTGAAGCCCGTAACAAACAAAACTGGTTTAGACATGTGATGATAGGTGCTTTTATATATTTTAGATTAAAAGAAGGGGTAAGCTCTGGATCGCTGTTGATTGGAGCAAGGAAGCCCGGTGATGAAACAAGATTTTGCGCAGATTTGTTTGGCAAAGTTTCAAGGGTTGAGTTATTACCAACAATTATTGTAGTTTATTACCACCAGCGAAGATATGTTAATCCACTTTTCTTAATCACCCAATCGCTCTGGAAAAATTTTATAGCCAGAAAACACCATTTGCATCAGGGCCATTAAAACCTACAAAAATGCAGTACTTAGTGCAATTAGATATAACCCGTTAAGATTTTTCCCCATCAGTTATCAATTTTATTGGTCCATCACTTAATTGAACTCTTAAAAGCATTTTTACTACTTGAGGAGTGAATATTTTTCGAATAATTAACCATCTAATATATTAAACTTGGCGGAGGCCAGGGAGAAACTGGCGACGAATATACTACTATTGTCGATAAACTGATATATTACATACGCAGAAAGTTACCTCGAATTATAAATAATATAAAAGTTAAATATTTCCCTTTTTCCGTGCTACCTCTCAAATCTTTTGTATCCGTCCTCGTATAACTAAATACCACTTCCCGATCACATATATTTTCTTATAAAATGCCCCTCCCTGGTATATCTGCATTATTTTTTATGAATTTTGAAAGTTATTTTGTAGCGAAAATAAAAACGGGAAACTTCAAAGAGATTACCCATTATATTTTTGAATCAGAGGTCACAGGAAAAGTACTTCAGAAACATATTTTCGTCCAATTTCCTTCCTTTCGCTGACTAGGTAACAAGCTAAAAGTGAGAGGGGTGTTTTAATCCTGAGCTATAAGGAGTTTGGCTTTTAAGCAGGGCTGTGCAATAAAAAGAATTGGGGGTTGAAGATATTAGTTTTTTTTTGTCGGATATATAACAACAAAATATGTATATATATATATATATATATATATATATATTATATATATATATCCTCTAAAATAACAGCTGATCTGGTAGATGAAAAGGAGTTGAGGTTAATTGGGTATACAGCTGATTAAAAGCCAAGTGCACTCTGTTCAACAGTTCATTATATTTCGCCAATTTTCATTGGCATCATCAGATGAAAGCTACAATTATTTAAAACATGGTAAAATACATTCAATAGTTGTTTGTTGTTTATATCTTACTTGATTGAGGTTAACGGCAATATGATTTATTTTAACAACATCAAAATGGTTTGTGGGTACAATGTGGATTGCAGCTATTTTGGACATGTAACATGTAGTTGTATAATTTACGTTCACAATTAAAATATTAAAAACAAAACAAACACAAAAACGTTTAAAAAGTATGAAAAAGAAGTACTTGTGACTGGTTTGGAAAAAATATATAAAAAACGTTTTTGATGGGTTGGAATCAATAAAAGGGGTTATTCTTTAATTATTTTTTATGTGAAGTTTTCAATTGTGTTTACAATCATTTTCAAGAACGGCTAAAATATTTTCCAATGTGAAACTAGAAAAATAAATTTTAACTCACCAAATAAAATTAGTTTTGTTAATAAATCTATACTGCTAAACATGTTAAAAAAACTATTTTAAAAAATTAGAATATCCAATGAATGTTTCTCTAAATTTTGTAATTTTGAAAAACTTTTTACACAAAAACAATTGAATTTAATAAGTTAGAATAGCGACCAATTACAAATAAGCCTCAATGTCATGAATGCCAACTTACAATTTTCATTTTTGACAATTATATTACCAAAAAATAAAATTTTGTTTAAAAAATTCTTTTTTATTTAGTAATAAAAAAGAAGATTTATTCATCATTGATAGATGTCTAAAAAATGTAACAAGTATATGAAAAATTAAATTAAAATGTGATATGTTTTAAAATAAACTATAGAGAAATAATATAATTATAAATTTTGCTTGAGTTTTGAATTTCTGATCTTTTGTTTAAATTATTATCACTTCTGTTGATACAGACCATTTCTAAACAAGTCCTTTTGAATTTATTACTTTCATTACATAAAATTTTAATGTTATCAAAATCCATAATATGGTCTTTGTCGATTACATGCTCTGCTAAAGCACAAGGTGGTTTTTACTTCTACAGTCACTTTTGTGGGAAATAGTACGGTTTGACAGATTTCTTCCAGTCTCACCAACATACACAGCTTCACACTGAGTACAACTAATGCTGTATACTACATTTGTTTTATCTAATTTATCTATAGGATACTTAGTTTTGGAATATAAAGATGAAATAGTTTTGATGTTCTTTGTTGCTATTTTTATATTGTCAATAACCTTTAGTGTTTGTATTAATTTAGGTGTTAATGATGGTATAAAAGCTAGTGACTGATAATAGATGTTCTGATTATTGGATACAAAATTCATGAAACAGTTGACATTTTCAACAATCATAATAAACATATACAGTTTAGTTGAGAACGACGTAGATAATTCTCTACATTCCTTGACATGGGAATTGTAAGAACTACAGACAATGTGTTGAAAATTAGATGGTTCAGAAAAACCCATATGTAGTAATAGTTTTATAAGCTATTACTCATATCATCCAAATAAGATAAAAATGAACCTTGTAGTATAAGCAAGAATTTTTAATTATATTATTTCTTTATAGTTTAATTATAAAACTATTAAGAAGTACACATTTTAATTTAATTTTCCATATAGTTGTTACATTTTTTAGACATCTATCAATGATAAATAAATCTTCTTTTTTATTACTAAATAAAAAAAGAATTTTTTAAACAAAATTTTATTTTTGGCAATATAATTGTCAAAAATGAAAATTGTAAGTTGGCATTCATGACATTGAGGCTTATTTGTAATTGGTCGATATTCTAACTTATTTATAAATTCAATTGTTTTTGTTAAAAAAGTTTTTCAAAATTACAAAATTTAGAGAAACATTTATTGGATAATCTAATTTTTTAAATAGTTTTTTAAACATGTTTAGCATATAGATTTATTAACAAAACTAATTTTATTTGGTGAGTTAAAATTTATTTTTCTAGTTTCATTTTGTAAGATATTTTGTATTTTTTAGCAGCTCTTGAAAATGATTGTAAACACAATTGAAAGCTTCACATAAAAAATAGTTTAACCAACAGCCCCTTTTATTGACTCCAATTGTATTTATATATATATAATACATAAGAAAAAGGTTAATGTGAGTTAATAGTAAAATAAAGGTAGAAGGTATCGGCATAGCGCAACAAAGAAAAATTATATATATAATAAAATATGTGTAGGATACGATGGAAGGCAACCATATATACGTATGTGCAGCTAAGTTAAAAAAAGGCATGTTAGCTTGGGAAAGGAGCAATGTGACCAATTTGTGGTATACATGGGTTGCGAACAAGTATACAATTAAACATTACAATCCTAATAATGGTAAAACCATAGGAGAGACCCACTAAGCCAATACATGTAAAATGTATTTTAAATTGAATGTTGTTTGTTGGTCATGGGCGTTCTGAAAATTATTCTTTTGTGTATTTTAAATTAAAATGAAATATTTTATTTATTTTTATATTTATATTTTTTATATATTATATTTTTTTACTTAATTTTACAAATCAAACTTGCTTCTTTTCGATTTCATGTTTGTGAGGGTGACTTAGTTTTTTTGTCATATTTGTGAGAGCGTATTCTTGAGTTAAGTAGCTGACTGGTTTGGCCATCGCAATTTGAGCAAGGAATTTCATATATAATATGCGGCTTTTTTAATTGAAGGGTCTCGTTTTTAGTTTTTTAAAGTTCTTTTTGAAACGATTGTTCCCTTTATAAGCCTGTAATGAGATTTGCCACTTGTTCTGAAAACCCTCTTATATAGGGAAGAGTTATAGTTTTTGTTTACCGTGCTATTTTTAGCGTTATTCTTGTTATTGTAAAATGTGTGAAGTCACGATTTGAAAGTGTTTTCTATAAGGGGATATGAATGCAAATTAAGTGTTAGTGCTGTTTTTGAGGCTTCGTAAGTTTCTGACTGATCGCAAATTGGACTTCAACCTCCGATACAAGATGCTTAAGTGTTACGTGTGGCCTGTTCTCCTATACGGAATGGAAGCATGGACGTTAAAGGCCAGTTCCATTAACAAACTTGAAGTGTTCGAAATGTGGTGCCTGCGTCGAATGCTCAGAATATCATGGACGGACAGGGTCAGAAATGAGGAAGTACTCAGAAGAGCGAGCTTACAGGATAGGGAACTTTTTAATTATGTAAAAAGTAAGAAGACTGCATACTTGGGGCACATTATACGAGGAGAACGATACACTTTTCAGCAACTGATACTCGAAGGGAAGATAGAGGGTAGGAGAGGTCTCGGACGTAAAAAAATGTCATGGCTGCGCAATATTCGACAATGGACAGGAATCCACAGCTATGAAATGCTTCGCAATGCTGCTAAAAACAGAATTATTTAATCCAGAATATTTAACATCTCACTTGACAAGACGATGTACGGTGGACGCCTACGCAGAAATGCACGGCACCTTAAGAAGAAGAAGAAGCTGTTTTTTATAGACCTAGGTTAATTGATAGAGTCAGATAATCCGATAGCTCTGTCCGCGAGGCCGATATTGCCCAACTGCTATTACAAAACTTAGAAAAATAAAAAAAAAACATAAATTTGATTTTTCAAAACTAAGATCCTAAAAAAGTGAACATAACAGAAAAAAGAGGTAGCTCCTAGAGTATATTGAAATGAAAATAAAATATTGCAATAAATGATAAAAAATAAATATGATAGTGTTATGCATGTGAATATAATTGAATGTAATTTTAAGCGATAATAAAATCTCTTCACGACAAATTTGCTTAAATGATATATTATGTGAATATGAGGGTGAATTTTGTGCATTAGAAATTATAGATATTAAAACAATTTTATTAACAGTG